GGGAAGCTAGGGAAATGCTGTTATACATAAAGAGTGCATTCCTGATCTTTCTTCTCAACTTAACCACAACATTTTGTGAGAAAGGATTGCCACGTATGATTTGTACAACTTTTACATTCTGAGCAAATCTTAAATGAAAGCTCTTTCTTTTGTTGCTGTGCTATAACAGGGGTTACAGGCTTCGAGCTGAAAGGCCGGTCCACAGGACCCAAAGCTGTTGGAATATTTCTATAACTGAAGACAATCTCATCACTTGATTGGTATCAAGAGATACATTATGGTGAGTGCTGTATATATTCTCATTTATGTTGGAAAAAAAGAATAGCAAAAAATAGCAAATAAGAATACAGCAAGAAACCAACTGAAAAATTTAACAGCATATCAAATCAAATCAAAAATGTATTTATATAGCACTTTATAACATCTGGTTGACCAAAGTACTTCACATAAAGAACAAAAAGAGCAAATTAAAAGTTTTTAAGATAAAGAAAACAGTAAACTAGAATAAGAGCCAACAACAATGAATATCAGACTCCATTAAGAATCAAAATGGCTTAGTAAATAAAAAAAGTCTTAAGGAGAGATTTAAATATAGCCAAATCTATAGCAGATCTAATATTTAAAAGGCAAATTATTACAAAGCTTTGGAGCCATGATGACAATAGCCCTATTGTCCAATTGTCCATGACAGGACCTTACACACAAGACTAAAATCTAAGAGGTCTGACTGGGGCATGCTGTTGAATGAGACTGCTGAGATACAGTAAGTGGGTTTAGAGAGCAAAGGGCTACTTGAAGGGTAGCTGGACTCCAACACCAATAACTCCTCCCCTCATCCAATAACGCTTGACCAAATTATTTTGTAAAACTACACTAAATCAATCATTGTATTTGGCCCAGTGTGTGTTATCTAATTGCAGGCAATAATTTCATGCAATAGTTTTCTATAGGAGGTTATAATGGGAACAAGCACCAGTGGATAACCTCTCTCATCCTGAGGATGATGAATGAGGCGAGAGAGGGCCTTGGGGTGTAACACAGACACAAACAGACACACACCTTGCTCCTTCAGACAGGGAGGGAAAAGAGTGAAGCCCTCATCACACTCCCTAACTACTGGATAATTTATCAAAGTCCTGATTTGACTCTTTGTGCACGCGCACATGTACTGTAGTACAGTGCATCCATTAGTTTGTCAACACACTTGCATGTGAATGACCCACACACACACACACACACACACACACACACACACACACACCTTCCTTGCCTGAAAAGAGCCAAACAGCTCAATCAGTTGAATGGTGAGGGAGCATCAGCACTCATTTGTTTTTGCTGTATTACCCAGTGTCGCCTCTCTCCTATTGTTCCCTAGCATTAGCCTTAATTAGAGAGTCGTGCTCTTAAATACCCCCATGGGCAACACTGGGTGAGGATGCACTAGCGCAGACATAGCACTGAGACACGCACACACGCACTCACCGAGGCATACGCACACCGCTCAAGCTCTCATTCTTCA